ATAACACAAAGATATGATGACCCAGTTCAGTGGACACACACCTACTATGGGAGCTACCAAGCCAGAAAGGAAGTCCACTATCAGCAGTATTAGTTCAAAGTTAAACTCCCCAGTTTACAACTTCTCGCCTAATCCCTATCCAATGAAACTTCTACCTAGGAACATCCTAAATATGAGAAATCGACATCCCACTTCCTAAAACACCTCAGTGATATATATAAATTACAACTTGTTCAGTCAAGAATCTTGACTAACAAACTTACTTGGATTTGTTTCAAAGCTTCATCCAAGAACAATACACGATTCATTACCTAAAGGCTTATGAATCTTCATAAATCATGTCTACCAAATGTGTCAAATCGATCCAAAGGGTGACTTACAACACAAGAAAGTACACGACTTTCAAAATCCTAAACCCTTACTTTTCTATCTAAATTTGTTACACCCAATTTAGTTCTCAAACCCTAAGTCTAAGTCTTCCTTTTATAATCTTCAATGTACTGGACTTGGGCTTCAAATCACTTCTGACCTGTTGTAGATGAGGCAGAAAAAATATCTCTTAAATCATAGGACTTCAATCATTAGTTCCCTAACTTATCTCCATAAGTAGAAACTAATTTAACCTCGTGATTTCAACTTGAATCTCTTCAATCTTCAAACTATGCGCCACATAGGATTACAGTATATTCTAGAATGTTCTGCATCTGAAATATATCAATTAAATCCAACAGTCTAGCTGGTTACATGCACGATGTCAAATGACTCTTCATAGGACACCTTCACTCGACATGTCTGTCTCTCTGCATGATAGACCATGTTGAATAACATCTCTGATTTCTTCTTCTTGGACACAACACATGATTACCAAATATTCCTAAAATATCCATATTTGTAACCTACTCACAGAATCCAAACATCCAGTTATACTAGACAAGATGTCAGATGACCAGAATAGGACATGTCGTTCAACATCTAGTTTCGTAAGCTAGAACATCCTATTTAACATGTTGCTATCTAATTTGTTTTACTAAAATTAATGTCAGCCATAAAATATAGAAGGGTTAATACTTATTTTCACCCCTGACATATGGGGTGTATTTGAAAAATCCCCCTCCCAAAAAAAAAGTTCCAATTGTTACTTGACAAATTTTTACCTTGAGGATGCCACATCACCTAAAAGGTTGATGTGGCTTATATTTTTGTTATATTTTTATTATTATTTTAATGACATGGCTTGATTAGTTGTTATTTTTAATTAATTTTTAATTCCATATGGCATTTATATTAATATTTTATTAATTGAGTGTTAATTCAAAGTTAAAATTTTTTTGTCCTTCAGCAAGAATCGAATCATGGATATACTGTTTGCAGCAAACGCTTCTTACCACTAGACCAATACATTTTCTTTGTTACATATATGCATCAATAAATATTCATATCATTAACATATTAATTACAATTATCAATAAATTTTCTTAACTAGTTGGTTTAAATAATTTTTTAAAAAATGTTTTACATATTTTATCTTTTTACTGTAACTTTTTTTAAATTTTAAATTTTCAAAAATCACTTAAATTTTCAAAAATCACTTAAATTTAAAAAAATCACTTAATTTTAAAAAAATCACTTAAATTTAAAAAAATAAGTTAAATTTTAAAAAATCACTTAAATTTTCAAAAATCACTTAAATTTAAAAAAAATCACTTAATTTTTCAAAAATCACTTAAATTTAAATCACTTAAATTTAAAATCACTTAAATTTTCAAAAATCACTTAAATTTAAAAAAATCACTTAAATTTAAAAAAATAAGTTAAATTTAAAAAAATCACTTAAATTTAAAAAAATCACTTAAATTTAAAAAAATCACTTAAATTTAAAAAAATCACTTAAATTTAAATCACTTAAATTTAAAATCACTTAAATTTTCAAAAATCACTTAAGTGATTTTTGAAAATCACTTAAGTGATTTTTGAAAATCACTTAGTTTTGAAAATTTAAGTGATTTTTGAAAATTTAAGTGATTTTTTTAAATTTAAGTGATTTTTGAAAATTTAAGTGATTTTTTTAAATTTAACTTATTTTTTAAAATTTAAGTGATTTTTGAAAATTTAAGTGATTTTTTTAAATTTAAATGATTTTTAAAAATTTAAAATTTAAAAAAAGTTACAGTAAAAAGATAAAATATGTAAAATATTTTTTTAAAAATTATTTAAACCAACTAGTTAAGAAAATTTATTGATAATTATAATTAATATGTTAATGATATGAATATTTATTGATGCATATATGTAACAAAGAAAATGCATTGGTCTAGTGGTAAGAAGCGTGCAGGACAAAATTTTTTTAACTTTGAATTAACACTCAATTAATAAAATATTAATATAAATGCCATATGGAATTAAAAATTAAAAATTAATTAAAAATGACAACTAATCAAGCTATGTCATTAAAATAATAATAAAAATATAACAAAAATATAAGTCACATCAGCCTTTTAGGTGATGTGGCATCCTCAAGGTAAAAACTGAAACTTTTAAAATTTGTTAAGGTAACAATTGAAACTTTTTTTTTGGCAGGGGGATTTTTCAAATACACCCCATATGTCAGGGGTGAAAATAGATATTAACCAAATATAGAATTAACAATCTCACCCTTTGACAAATTTTGGCTAAAACAAATTTACAAGTTACAACTCAGATTCCAACAATATTACAACAATCAGTTAATATTTTGGTGTTAGCATCGAATGCTCCTCTTTACTTGTATGTTAAGTGTTTTGAAATTTGTTCCACGAGGATTTACAAATCTAAGATTGAGGTGTTTGTATGCTTTTGGTTGGCAATAACATTTCCATGAATTGATTAAGAATATCTTCCAGCTTTTTATCTGCATGATGTTAACTTTGATTGTAACTATGGTATTGTTATCTAGTGGAATGGGCCAACAACTTGCATTCATCCTGTCTAAATTAGGTTCCTCTTTGAAAGTTGTTTCCATCCTAAAAATTGTTGTTACCTCCTGGATGTGAGCATGGTGTTTTCCTTTGTTTAATGTTAAAATATTTCACATCCTTATCACTAGGAGGATAATACTAGTTGGTCATAGAGACAAACATGTATGTCTCATCTGTTTAGACCCGTCTTATAAAAATATGTAAAAAATGCAATTAGACAATAACAAAGAATGTGAGCCTAAAACCTTAATTCGTTGTAACAAAAACTAAGAACAAACTATGCACACATATAATCTAAAAGTTGCAAAAACTTATGTCCGCGCAGTTAAAGCTCACTTATACAAAAGTCTGCAAAAAAAATAGAACAAAGTGGTGCTCTGATATTAGAGAGTATGCCCCTAAAATCTTGTTCAGACATTCCTAACTCCAACATTCATAACTTTTATTAAACTAGCCATTATGGTAGGTGAGTGTCATTATTTCTATAATTACCACAATAATATTGACACTCTTAGACATAAAAGAACCACATGAAGTGACGTCAAATAACAATTTTCGTTGTGGTAGAAGTTCACTTACGAATATGTGGATCTTGATAAGATAATTAAATTGGATTTGGAAACCTTTTAAACATATATTTAGAAGCAATTTCTCATTGCATCCTTATACATTCTCTCAGGCCTTTGGTGAAATTTCCAAAATACTTTTTTTATTTTCGGAGATGCATATCTAGACACATAAAATCTCATTTTTTGTGAAAATTTAGTTCGGAAATATATTTTCAAATTTTTGAGATGAATTCGGAGACGTATCTCCGAAGATACCATTCATTTTGATGTCTCAACAAAATTGGATTAAATAAAATAGACATTTTCTTGAAATAAATTTTTTTAAATTATTTCTATAAATATAAATATTATGATTATTTACTATAATAATTATTATTTTCTATAATAATTATTTTCTGGATTAATATATAATTCATATAGATTAATTATTATATAATATTATTATAGACTATTATATGATAATTAATTTTTGGAAAACAATTGTTTCTAATATATAGACTAATAATTAAACTTTTACTTGATCTCTTTTTAAACTTATAAAAACAATTGAATTTTAAGCTATTTATATTTAATAATTCATTTTTCGTATAAAAAATCATAAATAATATAAAAATCATGATTCAAAATATAATTTAGTATAAAAAATATTGAATTAAAATAAATAAAATATTATCATTTTTAGTGTATTTTGATAGATTTTCTTCTACATGATTTTATTAATAATATATCAATCTAAATCGTTTTGTTTTATTACTAAAATATTAATATAATAATATAGAAAAAAAATATTATAGAAAATAATAACACATAAATTATATATTAGTCAAAATAATAATAATAATTATTATTATTATTATTATGTGAATTATATATTAGTCAAAAAAATAATTATTATAGAAAATAATAATAAATAATAAATAATGTTTATATTTATAAATAAAAAATCTATTTTAAGAAATTTTTTATTTTTATTTATTCAATTTTATTGTAATTGTTGGTGTCATTGTTGTTGTTTTCATTGTTATTACGGTTGTTGATGACCTATGCACCACCGTCTTGGTTCTCATCCATATTTACAAAGTGGTTATTTCTATTGCTTTTTTGAAGATTTTTGCGAGTTGTCCTTTTAATTTCTAAATTAAAAGGAATTTTGCTTTTATTTCGCATACACAAAAATCTTGCAAACTAACAAACACGTTAATAATAACAAGAAATATAAACAATGATTCACATAATAACTTAAAATGATAAAAGTTCCAAATAAGCTATAAGCTCTAAGAATTTTGATCGCATCGGAAGAATTTTTACCACAGTATAATGATTCGCGTCCTAACGGTAACCTTAACTGCAAGCACAATTTAATGTCACGATCCTAAGTGAAATATACTAAAATGAGTAACAAGGGATCATCATTTATTGAGTTATTATTATCCACACTAACTAAATAAAACTATTGGTATTCCAATTCTATCCTTCATCAACCCTGGTGATGGACTTGGCTTCCAATAATGAATGAGTTCGAGTCTTGAATAGGCGAAAAACTATTCGGTATGTTATAATATGTAGGACATTGATTCCTTCTGTAAGAAGTTGCAGCTTTTCTCTCGGCTTCAAGGTAATGACCAAGAGAGTGAACATCATTACCAATCACTGCATCAGTACATAGTTTTGAACAAAGCGAAAACAACCAAGGCTTCTGTTTGTGATTCTTCTTGTTCTCCTCTGAATTTTCCATCACTCTTCTTCTGCTTGATCTTCTTGAGAGTTCTAGGAAGCTCGAGATTCGAATGAGGCTGCCTAGTGTAATGCTCTTGTCATGGAAGAATGATCCTGTGGACTATACAAAGCCAAGCTAAGTAAGTGAGTTAGAAAAAATGACTTATATTTTAACACATGAGTTCGAACTCAAGATTCCACATAAAATGTTCTAGCGGACGATTAAATTGTATTAGAAAAGAATTGTATTAATATAACTTTTGTAAACATCAATTGAAAAAAGTATTCATATAATCTTCCGTGTTTGCGAACTTTAGTGTTTTAAAGTATCATTGCTTCTTTCTTACACTTCTCAAAGGATGTCTTCTACACATTAAGAATATATTTTTAAAACATATGCATAATCTATGCAAGACTTTAACTTTCAAAAAAGCATGTTTTGAATTCATTAATCTAAGAAACCATACACCAACAAAATAGAAAATTAAAGTAAAATTCAAAATCACATTCTGTGAAACAATGATGTGCTAGTCCATGCTTTGGACCCCATTGGAACCAAGCAATTATGTAATATTTTTGTTGTTTACATGCAAAAGAAGAGAAGGAACTAAAAGAAAACGACAGGAATATGAAGTTTCCTTTTCCTATTGAATTTTGGTTTTGGACTTATTCTAAAGCTAGAAGATATATATCTTCATCAGAGAAATAATGAAAACAAAGTACATAGTAAAAAACCATGGTTATTATTACTATAACCACAAACCATGCTGAATGATGGAAAGAGTAAAGTATCTCAAATTAAAACAAAAAAGTGTATATCATTGTGTTGAAGAGAAGTGCCACAGTGTCAGAGTGATACTTGAGTAGCCATAATTTTGTACCAAAATAGTTATTATGTAAAGATATCTACATAACATAAAATATTTAAGAAGCTCTCTCTTTCTGTGACAATGATCATTTTAATTCTTGAAAACCAGGGATTTCATCCGAGTCACAGTTCAATTGGTTTAATCGACTCAACCGCGGTTGAATTGACAGATGATTAAATAAGTATTGAAAACATGAAAGACGACTCAACCGTTGTTGAGTCGATTAAACGTTCAATTTTTAAGGTTAAAGGAAAGTACTAACCTGAGTGTCAAGATCTGATGAAGAATAAGTTGAAGGTGTGGGAGAATCAGCTGAAAGCACGGTGCTAAATGAATCTGATCCAGAAAAATCACCATTCCTCACCATCCCAATTCTAGAATTCAATAGTCTCAATCCCAATGGCCACCCTTCTTCCTGAATCAACTCCAAAACACACCAAAATAGAAATAAAAAACAAAACCATAGTCTGATAAATATTCTGATATAACCAAAACCCTCAAAATGAATCATCAAAAGACACAAACTTTATGAAACACTTCAAATAAAATCAACATCTATGCATTGTGTATGTGTGAGAGTGTGTGTGTGAGAGAGAGAAACAAAGAGAGAGATGGTACCTGTTGAGCCATTACTGTCTTTTCTGGACAAAAGGGTGTGACTTTTATGAGATGAAATATGAATGTGAAATGAAATACTAACAAACTCACTTCAGACAGAGAAGTTTCATCTTCAAGACTACACACCTTGTAACAAAAAGCAACACTTTAATAGGTTAAGTTTAACAAAAAGTATCAACATTTAAGACAAAACAATAATGTTACAAATTTGACACATTTTCTTCATTTGGGTCAAAGCTGAGCTTGACATTTAATCAAACAGAAAAAAGACAGAAGTAGTTAAAGTGCATTCATTCACATTGGGTTTGATTTGAGAGTTACAAATAAAATAGAGAGAGAGTGGTAAGATGAGTGTGACATCTTACCAAGGGAGTGAAGAATCTCTGGTTTTTGATTTGGAGACAATGTAGAAAGGAAGATGATGAATGCAAGAGAGTTTGGAATATTTTGGTCCAAGTTTCAAAGTTGAGAGAGAGGGTCAAAAAGATGGCAACTTGAGTAAGAAAGGACAGGAGCAAGTGAGGTTTGTTATTTTAATAATTCATAAATAAAATACTAATAAATGTCTTTAATATATTAGTTGAGGAATAAAATTTATGCAAATTCTTAGTCACTCATGTTAAGTAGTTTGATACTGGTATCTATAATATAAATTGAATTAAAATATTAATTTATTTTTAAATAAAAATAAATATAAAAAATAACACGGTTTTGAATATGACAAAAGGTTAACAAGAAAAAAATAAGTATCTAGTTCATCATCATCATCACTAGACAACATTGGAGATATGAGATTTGATTTCTCCAATTTTTTAATAAGTTTGTTGATCTTTGAATGCATCGGTCTTTGATCATCTCGAATGTCATTGAGGACGATTGAAGAGGATGGAGGGATGTCATTGTATCTTTGTTGTCTTGCCCTTGGTGGTGCCTTCAGAGATAAGGTGAAAATTTTCCTTCCTTAGATGGCATACGTCATTTGACCCAAAATACTTTTTCCTATTTTTGAGTGCATAATTTTTCGATGTCTCTTCATCCAAGTCAAATTCATAATACACCAAGACTTCCGTGATTAAATCACCATAAGGTAGAATCATATTCTTTTTTTCATCCAACATATAATGGACCATAATATCTATCCATTTTTTTTCAAATCGATTTTACAAAAATTAAGTTGAAGGAATGTCTGATTTTTGTATGGTGCTCTAGTTTCTCCTTCTTGGAAAGAGAACATGCTTCATTGCATAATGAATCATTCGACTTTTAATAAAGAAATATTTGATTCTCCTTAATCAAATATTTTCCATTCATAGTATATATTTGTAAATCAGATATATAAGGAATGATTTAGTCATCCTTAATTGTATATTTTCTATTCCTAGAATAGTCTAGAAAATCCAGTATAGAATATTTTGTAATCAATTATGTAAATGTTCATGTTGTTATAAATAGAAGAAATACAATGAGATAAGGTATTAAGCCCAAATTTGTGACATGGTATCAGAAGGTTTTTGATCGAACCTGTGAAACTTTCTTGTCTTGGCTTAACAGCGACACCCATTGGGTCGCTCTCAAAATCGTGTTCCTCTCGTGTTCGTTTCAAAACAGTTTTTACTAAAACCTTGTACTTGTGATTCCGAGTTTTTGGTTGCAGTCTTGTGATTCCGTTTTGTGATTTCGGTTGTTGCTTGGTGTTCTTGTTTATCGCGGTTGATTCTTGTTTCGTTTGGCTACAGTTATTTTTTTGTGGTTGTTTACGATTTTTGTTGCAAACCGTTGTTGTTCTAGGGTGTGTGTGATTTGGATCGGCAATTGTGCCGAAATTGAATGGTGTGTTTGCCGACAATTGCTAAGTGAGTTTCTGATTTAGTTTAGTTGTTACCGTTTCTAGTAGTACTTATCTCTTTGTTGCAATATTTCAAAAAAAAAAGATATTGATGCATGTGTGCAATAATAGATTTAGTTTATATCAAAAAAAGAAAGATAAAGAAAAATCATGGCTTTAGAAAATGATAAAAATTACTTGTGTTCGTTTTACCAGTATGAATTATTCAACATGGGAATTTCGATTCAAAAATTATGTGAAGGGAAAGGGATTATGGAGTCATCTAGACGATGTGTCTAAGGCACCTACACAGAAATTACATTAAATACGTGGGAAAACAAAGAGCTCAAATAATCACTTGGATCCTCAGTACTATTGATCCTCAAATGATCGATACTATTTACGTTTATTTTCAACTGTGCAAGAGATGTGGAACTATTTGAAGTGTATTTATAACCAAGACAATATAGCCAAACATTTTCAGTTGGAGTTAGAGATAGCTAATTACAAACAAGGTGGTTTATCTGTTCAAGAATATTATTCTGGTTATTTGAATTTGTGGATAGAAAACTCTTCTCTTATACATGTTGATGTTTCCAAGACTTCTATGCATCTATTCAAGAAGTCTACAACACAAGTAGCCGAAATCAATTTCTCATGAAACTTCGCCTAGAATTTGAAGTTGTCAGAGGTGCTTTACTGAATAGGAACCATGTTTCTTCTTTAGATACACATGTTGGAGAACTTCTAAGGGATGAACAATGACTTATTACTCAAGGAGCCATGTCTCATGAAGTTTTTATTTCTAAGCCTATGATTGTTGCATATGATACTCAAAGTAAAGGTAAAGGTCGTGATATGAGACAAGTCCAATGCTTCTCTTGTAAAAAATTTGGCTATATTGCTTGTAGTTGTAGTAATAAGTTTTGTAATTATTGCAAGCAGCAAAGACATATTATCTCTGAGTGCCCCACCCGTCCTCTACGACCAATACAATGCTCGATGTAAGCATTCCGTGCAACTACAAATTTTGCAATTGGTCCTTCCAACAATGGTGCATAAAAGGATGCCACTATACATCCTGAAATGATTCAACAAATGGTACTTTCTGCTCTTTCCATCTTGGGAATTCAAGGTAAGTCCTCTAATGTTTCTACCCATGGTTTCTTGATTCGGGTGCATCTAATCACATGAAAGGTTCCTTAGAATGTTTTCATAATTTACAATCTTATCATGGTAATAAGAAAATTCAAATAGCTGATAATAATACTTTATCTATCACTGATGTTGGAGATATAAAATCTGATTTTTAAGATGTGCTTGTATCACCTGGACTTGCTTCTAATTTATTATTCGCTGGTCAATTGGTAGATAAAAATTATGATGTTGACTTTTCTAGTGTTGGTTGTCTTGTTCAGGACCAGGTGTCAGAGAAGGTGATCGCGAAGGGGCCTAAAGTGGGAATATTGTTTCCACTCTAATTTATTTCCTGTCATTTATCTCTTGCTTGTAATAATGTTTTGAATTCTTATGAGGATTGACATATAAAATCATGTTATCCAAACTCTGTCGTTTTGTCTATTTTATTTAAAATTGGTTTATTGGGAAATAAAAATGGCGTTTGTAACGCTTCTGTTTCATGTTCATTTTGCAAATTGGGTAAAAGTAAAACACGTCCTTTTCCAGTTGGTGTTCGTCGTGCTTTCACTTGTTTTGAGATGATTCATAGTGATGTGTGGGGAATGATTCATGTAGTTTCTCATGCTCATTATAAATACTTTGTCACATTTATTAATAATTATAGTTGTTTTACTTGGATATATTTTCTTCATTCTAAATCTGAAATGTTTTCTATTTTTAAGAAATTTCTTACATAAGTTGAAACTTAATTTCAAGCTAGTGTTAAAAAATTTCATTCTAACTCTGCTGGTGAGTACATGTCTCGTGAGTTTCAGAAGTACCTTCAACAAAAAGGCATATTCTCTTAAAGATCTTATCCTAACACCCCTCAACAAAATGGGATAGTAGAACGTAAGAATCGCCATTTGCTTGATGTAATACACGCCTTACTTATTCAAGCTTTTGTGCCATCCCGATTTTGGGTAGAAGCATTGTCCACAACTGTCTTTTTGATCAACCGTGTCCCATCTACGGTTATTGATTTTGATTCTCATTTCTTTCGTCTTTTTAAAATTCATCATGATTATAGTGTTTTCCATACTATTGGTTGCGTGTGTTTTATTCACTTACCTTCATTTGAAAGGCATAATCTTGGAGCACAATTTGTTTAATATGCATTTATGGGATATAGTCACTCTCATAAAGGTTTTGTATGTTATGATGTCTCTAATAAACGTTTTCGCATTTCTAGGAATGTAACATTTTTTGATAATCAGTTTATATTTCCTTGTGTTTCTCCTGACTTGAATGATATTTTTACTCTTCCTATGTTTTCTATTATGACTCAATCTATAGAATGTTATAAACCAGGTCATGTATATTAGGAAACACAAACACCAGGTTCCCACTCCCCTTCCCGACGCTGATCCATCACTTGATCCACCACTTGATCTGTCACATGATGTGGTACCTGTTGAACCATGTCGTTTTGTTCGAATATCTCAAGCACCTTATAGATATTCACCAGAAAGGTATGATTCCTCACATACCTCTCTGACTGCCTCACTTTCTAGCATATATATTCTTATTTATTACGTACAGGTTGCTAAAGATGTGCGCTAGATAAAAGAAATGAATTAGGAGCTGCAGGCTCTTGAAGATAATTTTACATGGGATATTGTTTCTTGTCCTACTAATATAAAACCCATTGATTATAAATAGGTGTATTTTGTGAAACTAAATTGTGATGGGTCCCTCAACCATTTCAAGGCTCGATTGGTTTCCTTTGGAAACAAGCAGGAATATGGAATTGATTATGATGAGACATTTGCACCCATTTCTAAAATGACAATTGTTCGCACTCTACTTTCTATACACACTTCTAATGGATGTTATCTTTATCAAATGGATGTGAAGAATGTTTTTCTTCATGGTGACTTGACTAAAGATATTTATATGACTCCTCTTAAGGTCTATTTTCTTCATCTAAAGGTGTGTGCAAGCTAAAATGTTCCTTATACGGCTTGAAATAGTCGCCCATATCATGGTATGAGAAATTTTGCTCCACTTTATTTAACTTCTCATTTAGCCAAAGTCAGTATGATTCCTCTCTATTTATTCATAGCACAAGCGAGGATATTTTTCTACTTCTTTAGTATTTTGATGATATGGTTATCACTAGTTCTGATCATGCTTCTATCTAGTGACTTAAACAACCGTTACAAGCCTCATTTCATATGAAAGATCTTAGAAACTTGAATTATTTTCATAGTCTTGAGGTTAATTCTATCCAAAGGGAATCTTCCTCCATCAACACAAATACACCACTTATTTGATTTCTATGGTTGGTCTCCAAGCAGCCAATCTAGTGGATACTCTTCTGGAGGTTAATGTTAAATATCATCGTGATGATGACGATCCTTTAATTGATCCATTATTGTATTAGTAGCTTGTGGATAACCTTAATTACTTGACTATTACTCGCCATGACATATCATTTATTGTTCAACAATTCAGTCAATTCATACATTCTCCTTGCCATCTTCACTTGGCAGTAGTTCATCGTATAATTGTATTCTTAAAAGGAACCTCACATCATGGTTTATTTTTTGCTTCTGGAATAGTTCCTCGATTTAGTGCTTATAGTAATGCTGATTGGGCAGGGTGTCCTGACACTAAATGATTTGTCACTAGTTGATGCATGTTTCTCGGTTCTTCACTAATCTCATGGAAAAGTAAGAAACAAGCAAGAGTTTCTAAATCTTCCACAAAATCTTAGTATCATGCTATGTCTTCTGCTTGTTAATAAATAATTTGGATTTGCGGTCTTTTGGATGAGCTTGGATTTCCTCAATCAGAGCCTACATCACTTTATGATGACAACACAAGTACCATCCAAATTGTTGAAAATCCCGTGTTTCATGAACGCATCAAACATATCGATGTTGATTATCATTCCATTTGGGATTCTTATGATGATCAATTAATATCACTTCTTCATGTTAGTATTGAACTTCAAGTTGTAGATACTTTTACGAAGGCAGATCATTGTCCAGTCATCAATTTCTTGTTAACAAATTAATGTTTATTGACCAGACACATCAATTTGATGGGGGTGTTAATAAGGAAATATTTGATTCTCCTTAATCAAATATTTTTTTATTCATAGTATAGAATAGAAAATCAGATATATAAGGAATGATTTAGTCATCCTTAATTGCATATATTTTCTATTCCTATAATAGTCTAGAAAATCAAGTATAGAATATTTTGTAATCAATTATGTAAATGTTCATGTTGTTATAAATAGAAGGAATATAATGAGATAAGGTATTAAGCCAGAATTTGTGACACTGACTACCATGGCGTACAACATCGATAGTTAAAGGATAATGATTATCAGAAGAAGGATTAATTAAAAAAGATAGCCACAAACTAAAAATTAAACTCATTACCTTCTTCGGCGTGTTGATTGTAATATTAATTAATGAATGATAGGTTACAAGCTTGTGCAAATTCTTCAAGGGATTGAGTAATGGGATGTTTCTTTACTTCAAAGCTAACAATACCATATGAGTATTTGAGATTTACATGGAACATTCTTACCAATTCATGAT